AAGGTTAGTACAATAAATAAACTTTTATATTATTATTATAATATTATAATAGTCGCTTTAACTACTAATTCTGACTTTTATATTTTCGTACGACAGTTATGTCGCATTACTATGACTTTTTTTCAAAATGTTGAGCGACTCTGGCCAATCTCTAATTGAAAACGGAAAATCTTGTAGATGTTGACCTGTTGTGCAGCAAACTCCTGCACTTTTTGGCGGTCTCCTCAGATGATGAAATTATTTTCCGGAAAAGTGGCCGTATATTTCTGAGTTCAATCAAACGCGCACAAACGGTTTAATACATCAACGAGGTCAATATGTTGGACAAGGACTTGAGAGGGAAAGCATGGCTTACCTAGGCAGATTTAAACGGAACACAAGTACGAAAAGGGACCGATACGAAGAATTCCAACACTGTGCTCTGCGTCTGCAAGATCGATGGGTTATTGGATTCAATTTTGCATGTGGATTTTCGTGATAAATAATTAATACATACAATTCAGGGTCAATTAAATTAATGTCACAATTACAGGTTAGGTTATGTAAGGTTTTAATTACATTAGGTCACAGTTACAGGTTAGATTACTACTATAAGTCTTACAGAATATGTCAATTTATTTTACGAGTCACCTCGACTTAAATCTCCACTCTGCTCCACATGGCGCAAGATATAGACAAAGGCTATGTTATAAAGTTAAAATGAAGTTAAAAAGTTAATTTTGTTTTGTTTACTCTTAACTTTTAACTGAAGACAATTTATTTGGATTAACTTAACTTACCACAGTTAATTATTTTTGGGATATCACCTTTACACTATTGTCGTGGCCCAATTTTCCGGTAAACGTTATAGGAGAAAATCAGAACCTTCAATTAAAGGAACTCACAACTTTAGGTAAATTATAATAATTGGTAGTGACCTCAAGTTTAATCTCTTTCGACCACCATTTCAGAGGGACCTCTCCGTCGTTTTGCCACACTACAAATATTTTTCACGTGGAGGATTTTTTGAATATGTAATATTTCTCGAATAATGCACGATTTTCTACGAATAAGAACCTGAAAGTTGGAGTATTCAATCATGTCCATCCCCAACATCATATTTTTCTAGTCGTTGTGAATATTTTAATATATACTTTATACCTACATTTAAAAATTATACTATACGCTATTCAAATTTCAAATGAACTATTGATTATAAAATACGGATTGTAAATATAATTCATTTACACGAAGAAAGCAAACTTTGGGATTATATATAAAATGTTCCTAAACACATGATTTGTAGTGCCAAATGCCAATAATGGCTGAATTATATCGTATAAATTCTGTAAGTATATAAAAAAAAATTAAAAATTATTAATCACATTTTTGATTTGTCGATCAAATTTTTTTTGCGAGTAAAAAGCTAGAAAATCGAATACAGCATAATTATCATATCGAGGTTTTTGCAAACAAAAAATATCAAGATTATTTCAATTTCAATTTTTTCATAAAGGAATGAGCATACTGGGTGGATCAGGGTGTACATGGGTGTACTTAGTTTCATGTATGACACAAGTGTGAGAGTATATTTTTATTTCTAGGTGGGAACACAAAAATAAGGCTCCATTTACGTCATTGTGTTTTCGATGTTTTCATATTTAATTATTATTAGCTGACAAAATTTTAATTTGTATTTTTTATGAAAATCTACAAATAATCACAGTAGTACAGTTCATAATATGATATCATACCTTTTTGATGAAAAAAAATATTTATACGAAAATAAATGTTGAAATACTTTACGATGGATGAAAAACCGTATGTATAATATTATATCGACCTGACCGTAGACAAACTGAATGGTAAAAGAAAACCACGGTTGACGCTTTTCGTAAAATGTATATTGAAATATATTCGACGGGTTTTTTCCGATTCGATGCTGATATTAATGCTCAGGAGAAGAGGCCTATATTTATTTATTTTTTTGGTCTTTAAAAATATAATATAGGCGATTTTATGTGAAAAAAAAATTTTAATATTCGTTTGACATTTCACTCTGCGAGCAGAAATCGTATTGCATCATCATCGCGCGAATGATTCTAACGAATAACTATTATCGTATTTTTCGTAGGTTAAGTGTTGGATATTAATATACCAAAATAATATGTACATATCGATGAATTATGCATCATTGAACGATACACGACAACGGCCACTGGTTTCGGGTGATTAGGTAACATAATAATATTATTATTATTTCAGGTACGTTTGCTTAGCATAAGTCAAGTGCTTGCAGAACGTCTTCACAATACCGTCCATCGTTATACAAACACCTCCTGGAAATAAATTATAGTGAGAGACAACAATATTATCGGTCGGTGTCGCACACACAATTTTTTCGGATGAAATCATTACGAGCCGCCTCCACACAAATGAAGCTCAGGACCACCTACGACGAGCGCTCTACGACCTATGCTACTTTTTGATTTGTTCTTCGCATAATAATAATGTCATATTATACTAATCGAAACCGAGACAAACCCATATCCGTTAGTGCGTTCGATTGTGAAATTTTTCGGAAAAATAATATTACGATTCACTGCAAACAAATGCTAATAATAATATTATTATATTACACTATTGGTCACTTCCCGCCGATTATATTATTATATGAATTCGATTCAAGAAGGTCCGTTTCGTCAGCTGATGTTCCCTCGGTGACCATTATAATATTATATTAATTTGGTCACCTAAGCGGAAATCGATGGAACGGGTATGTACCATGTATGTTTCGAATCGGCACTTCCAATTTTCCAATTTATTTTCCAAATTGCTAATAAATATTATAATTTAATTTTGATTTTTTTTTTTTTACTCTAATCGCTTTAAAAAATATTTGTTTATAAAACAAATTTTTCCATTCAGAATATCGAAAACTTGACCTTGAATAAATCATTTTTATGATAACTGTTAACCCATATTTTCATTAATTTATAATATTATATTGTATTAAGTATTAACCATCTGCTATTTATTGATTCGACAATATACAATTGGAAAAAAAATTTTAATGAACAAAATATGTCACACGTGGACGATAACTCCCAAGGGCTTGTGGTAAAAATAATTTTAACCCTCCCCTATCTTCACACCTATTACAGTATGTGCCTGTACACAGGTGATGATTATACATTCATAAGTTATTTTTGATTTATCAATACAATTTTGAACTGACGATCCGGTCCAGATACATTATTATTACATTGAATAAGATGCAGTGGTTACCAAAAAGTCGTGGAGGGGGTGAGGGAGACATACCCCTTCGTGACTATTGTATTCCGATATTCATAATATAATTTTAACCATAAATATTATATTTTTAACGATCGAATAGTGCGTGTTAAAAATCAGTCGCACCCCCACCCCACCCCCTTAAAAATCAAATTCGATCGCTTCTGAATAGGTAGGCACCTACTATATATTATGTGTATATGTTATTATTGTATTTTATTCATCGACAATTATTATTATTATTTTCTGTATAATACGCAGTGCGATCGCATATCGAGACACACTGTAGAGAGGACGATGTTATCGTTTTCGGAAACTCGTTGCGTTTTTCAGCGTTTAAATATTCAAATTAGGTATATCTTCGACGGCTGCACGATAAGACTAAAACATTAATAGTTGTGAGGAGGGCTAAAAACAGGGCTGAAAATCTTGCAGCTCTCACGTACGGGAAATCACGATTATTCGACGTGTATTTTATGCGAGAGCTGTGTAGTAAGCTTAATGATAATAATAATATTATATACAATAATATAACACCTAAACGAAGCGACTTCGGCGGACGGGCGAAACGTTTTTTCCGTTACTTTTATCGCCGAAAATTTCGATTTTTATGCGCCCTCGACGGAGATAATTTATACGCGCATGGATAGTAATTTGTTTTTTATGGAAAAAAAAAAAAAACAAAAATACAAAAAAAAATCGATCAACGGGCAACGGTAATAAAACGTTTTATTATGAAGTCTAAAATTGCTTCCATAATATAATTCACTGAACACGAGACATCGTGACTTTAGTATTCTAAGCACTGCACCGAAGCTATAAGTTTTACGATTCCATTTTTTTTTTTTTGTTTTTTTGTTTCGAGCATTAACGATAACTACTACTCTGGACTGTTTGCGTAAATCTTTTAAGCGCAGTCGATACAATAATATTTCAAACTGCGCGTATTGCAGTGCTTATACGACCTGCTTATTTGTTGGCGTTGGATTTTTCGAAATGATAATATTTCCATTAAAACCATCATACTAAAAACGGTTAGTTTTAAAAGTCTATAAATATTTATTACTTCCCGTTGTAATATATTAAAAATTCATATTTTATAACTTTCTAAGCACCATTAAATCCATCCGATTATTTCTAGGTCAATAATTTTCAAGGTTTATTTTTAGTTTTTCGGGGGGATTCGTAAGAAATAATTTTTTAGAAAACGTTTAAACTTGTTTTTTCGATGTTGCGTAACTTCAATGTAACTAGGTAATATTGTATACAACATTAAATTACCTATAGTGTGAAACTACATAGGTAATTTTCATGAAATCTACTTCTTTGAGATAAAAAAAAAAAAATAAATTTTTTATAACCCGCCTGACCTAATATTGCAATAATTACAAAATATGAATAAAAACATAAACGACTGTAAAATTATTTGACAGCGATACGATTCCGAAATTATAAGTAGTAACCTAACCTAACCTAACCCTAGTATAATATTTTTCACACACACAATAATAATTTACTTTCCTATAATTTTTCATTCTGTATATTTATTGACTGTTTAAAAATATATATATATATCTTATAATAATTAGGATCGTTGTTACGATTATAATATTATCATCGATGTAAAAACAATCGTAGAAACCTTATCTCTAGGCATTATACAAGTCTCTCGTTTTTATAAAATAGTACGTATCACTGCATCGTGATATCAATGATGGTATTGAGCTTTAAGCTGTCGGGTTGGACAGTCTACCCATGAAAATGATGTCTTTGTCTTTCTTGATGATGAACAAGAACGGATGACACGCGTGGAACTTGACTTTCTTGATGTCTTTTGGATCGTATTCCAGATTGTAGTTCTCGATGGTGGCACCTGTTGCAAAATCGTATGAGTAAGTCGAAAAAAAAATACAAATTTTGAAAGATTTCGAACAACGTCCGGTGCAAGGACTTATGTAACGACTTACCGGTAACGGCTGCTGCTTCGGTGCCCTTTTCATTGACGTCCACGTAAGTCTTGTGTTTCATGCTGCTGACCCTCAGCTTGCCGGCACCCGAAGAGCTGAGCTCGGAGAAATCGGCAGTCGGCAAGAACATTTCGGTTAATCCCAACTGTCGAAAACAAAATAAAATTGTGTAGATCTATAATGGATTCGAAATATTTCGGCAGTAGGTGTGGGCAATCATTACTACTATTATGAAGACACAGTTTATAGTTTGTCGACGGTCTATAATATTTTTGGGCATTAGAGGCAGAACGTATATAAATATTATCATAAAATTATAATATTTCGTTTGGAAACTGCCGATTGCTCACGGACGTGATTCAGAGTATCCTAAATGTATCTCGTCCCTAATATAGTATCATGTTGACTTGGTGAACATTGTAAATACTAAATTAGTTACCCGGCAATATTGCTTACGCCGACGTTTGTAGTCGAAAACGGAGCAGTCGACTGACAGTCATTACGCCGAAATTGTACCGAACAGACAATTCCACGATTTAAATCAATAATGCGAACAAAATATGTGCTGTATACCGAATAGTGCAAAATATATGGGTTATCGAAAAATATATACCTAGTTTATCCATCAATGGAATAAATAAACAACATTGGTATGCACTACGAAATAATCTCAAATTCGAGGTAAAAATATTATTTGGATGAATCATGGGAAATATATTTTATAGGTACACCAGGTGGTAATTCTCGACCTGGAGGTGACAAACTAATTATTTTGGATCCCTTACACTTGATAACATAAGAATAATATTTTTAGGTATTGCCAAAAAATTGAATATTTTATTCGGAAAATCGTCGTTGTATACATTATAAATGTTATCAGTCGGGTTTCGGCAGCCAAAGCGATAGCATGTGCGCTGTTCCGTAATGTGTTACGTATCTTATCAGTTTACTTTTAATTGCCATGGCTAATGTGGTTTCTCCTATCGTTATAATTAACAAAAACACCGTTCGCAAATCGAAAATGAATGCCACTCCAACAAAAAGAGCCCTCTCATCGTCATCGTCATCACCAAACTCTCCGGTCCACGAAGACAAAAAGAGCAAAGTTTTTGTTTCCCCAAACCGTTTTGAAGTCTTAAGAACGGAAGACGAAGAACTTGATATCGCCAACCTCCCCGTCTCACCATCCAGCGTAACGTTGCCAGTTCAGAATAACCTCAAACTTCCTAACATCGTCCTAAAAAACGTAAGTGACTTTACTACTCTCAATAAGGATCTTACCCGTCTGGTGGGCCCAGAGAGCTTCACCTGCAAAGCTAAAAAATCCAGTTTAATTTTACGGACAAATACACGAGCTCAGTATGTAGCCATTAAATCTTATCTGATCAATGCCGCCTGTGATTTTCACTGTTATCAACCCCGCGCTCTCCAACCGTTCCGCGTTGTATTACGTCACCTCCACCACTCTACCACCACCGAGGACATCATTAATAGCCTAAGAGACCTTGGACACAAAGTTATCAGCATTTCAAACATACTCAATCGTACAAACAAATCGCCACTTCCGTTATTCAATATTTCCCTAGCCCGCAACAGCAACAACAACGACATTTTCAAAATAAACAAATTGTTTAACTCAATTGTGAAATTCGAGCATCCGATAAGGCCACTTGGTCCTCCCCAATGTCACTCTTGTCAAATGTATGGACATACACGCAATTATTGCCACCAACCTCCGCGTTGCGTGAAATGTGGGTTAAGCCACCTCACCGTAGATTGCTCTAAACCACGGGAAGAACCCGTTAAATGCGCCAACTGTAACGGTAACCACACTGCCAACTACAAAGGTTGTCAAATTTTTAAAAATTTACTAAAGCGCACCATTTACAAAGTCGCTTACAAAGCTGACAAAGTTGAAAAACCGAAAAAACACCCCAGCCCACCATCTGCTGTACCTGTTGCACCACAAATCTTCAACGTCCCCAGTTACAACTCAAATCAAAAACCGACATCTTATGCCAAAGCCACAGCCAACTCTTCATCAGTCAATCAACCTCTCCACATCATCAACAAATTTATTGAAGATTTAAAATGTATTTTAAACCCTCTTCTATTGGCTCTTACTTCCCTAATTAACAAAATTACACTTCCCATTTCGTCCACTCCATGACATCCCTCACCCCAAGTTAGAGGGTACCCACACTGGTGGGCCTCCCTCCTCAAGCCATTCATGTTATTATTGTTTCTTTCATTACCTAATTTACTTATTGTATCATAAAAATTACAGATTGTAAATATTCTATTTATCTAATAAAATAAAAAAATTAAAAAAAAATGTTATCTTTTTTAAGTATAGAAAACGCATCGTAGTAGGAACTTTAATATTATATCGAAGGTATTTTATGATTCTATCAAATCCATCCAATATCGAAAAAAATATATTTTAGCTAACATAGGAATTACCTACAGTATAATATTTTATATTAAAATGAAAAGTTTTTTTTTTTTAATAAACTAAAAAATTGAAAATAAAGATAAGTTTAAGTCCCCTTTCTGGGCATAAACAAAACGTTTAATTTTTTTTGATATGAAAACAAAATCAGATAACATAATCTTAAGCTTTTCAAGAAATGTAGTTATGTAGGTAGTACCTATTTGTAAATACTAAATAGTAATAACTGCACAAAATACGAAAAACTAAAACTAAAAATGCGTTAAATAACTTTTTAATTCGAAGGAACATAACATAAAACATGTTAAAAGGTTTGCAAACATAAAAATGAAAACGAAAACCTAGCATATTTTTCAAAAAAATACTATCCCTATAAGTCCACACTTGACGTTATAAAAAGCTGACTGGATAATGTTAAAACTACAGAAAACAAATATATGTTATTACAACGTAGGTATACTCGAAGATGTAACCAACACGAACCCATTGTTTATTTCAACCGTATTAACATAAATGAATAGATAGTTTAACGACCTTTTATCTATAATTTATATCTTATGAATTAAAGTAAAATATGAACTAACAGTTAAATATTAATTGGTATTTTATTAAATAGAAAAGTTTCAGTGAACCGATAAGATTGAAAATTATCTTACTCGTCCTGAAGTCGAACAGATTTAAAAATTAATTTCATCGACAATGGTAGACGTCTTAAATACTTACAAAGTTCAGTATAACGAATTCATTATAACTAATAACTCTTATAGAACACAATCTCAATGTACCGACCTTCCTGATCTAACCTTTTATATCTTTTCGTTGTCTTCGATCAATGTCTAAGTTTTATTTTACTATACACGATTATAACATTATATAATAATTTATATACTATCTACTCGAGTACAATCAAGTTTTCTTTGCACACAAACGCAAGCAGTATATTATGCTCAAAACATTATTTTAATAATGATAGATTAGGTAATCTAGACTCGACGGGAAAATCAAATCAACAATTATTAGTACTATGATGAGGAAATCGATATGATTTTTATTAAAGATAAATTAATAGAAACTGTTAGATCCATAAGGGATCTATTTTTATGCGTTAAAAAAAATGTTGTGCATCAAATATTAAATTATTAAAAGCTGTGAAAAATGTAATTGTAAATTATAATATTGGCATGATTATCGAATAACCCGTTTAGATGTATATCAGTTTGAAGTAGGTAAACATAATTTTTATTTGATTAAGTTAAATAATATTTAAAATTAATGACTTAGCTACAATATCGTATAGACACGATAACATGGTTACAAAGTTGAGTCGATACTATGTTCTATGATATACCTTTACATTCACGAGGAAAAATATATAATGAGTTTAAATTATTAATGTTATACATATTATTATTATATTATATTATTAATGACCAGACTAATGTGAATTCCGCTAGACAATATTGAAACTCTGCATTCAAATCGACAGACTCGAAGAAAAATCTAAGTCGAACGGTCACTGGATAATTATACTAGAATATTATAATATTAATGTTTTTTTTTCACTTTTCGCTTTAATTTTTTAATTTAAAAACAAATTAAAACGTTTAGTAGATTTGACAGATGATTGTATGGAAGCCATAGTAGAGCGCTGTAGATTATCACTAAAGAAACAACAACATGACCTTCCGATTTGATTTTATCGAAATAAACAACACTTATAAAATACTTTGATTTTCCTGTTTGTTAACTGAAGAAGAAAAAATATTGTCTAGAGCTTGTGCGTCAAATAGTAAAAAAAAAAAAAAAACCCGTAAAAATCGACGGCCGTCGACAACACCGTCAAGGTGGTTTATTGCACGTACGAACGAAATATTTATATTTACCAATCGAATCATCAAATTCAAAGTAAACACGTGCATATAACCAGGTATGTGTTTTACACTCACTTTTTGCATGGTTTTTTCGAGATCCATGTCCGATTCGAACTTAAACTTCGGTACGTCCAACTCGACGTTGTGTATGGTCATGTTGTTCAGCAAGTGAGCGTAGTTTTTGGATTTCTTCAGGAACACGTTTTCCAAGTCCTTTACAGCGTCCATCTTGTCCGGCAATACGATCAGCATCTCGTAACCTCCCACCTGTTACAGCACTCGATTAGTATATTATTATGCAATAAAACGACAATGATTCAAACTCGGGGTGGTGAATGTTTAGGGTATTCGACTAGGGGTGGACGGGCACGTGTCTAAGCACGAGAGTAGGAAAATATAACTGGGAAATTAAAACTGGGGGAATCTATCTGTTTTCCGGATCTAATCGTATAGGAATTCGTCCTACGAACACCAAATAATATTGTGTTAAGTGTATTAATTTTGAAATAATTTTTCAAGAATATCTAGGAAACGCCTAAAGATCTTAAGCCCTCGGTCTCTTAAACACGGGTGAAAAAAAACCCCGATAATGGTGATTTAGGAGATGCGAGAAAATGGAGGGCGTTCAACAATATTAATATGTTAGAGTAATACTCGTACTTTGTACGGTATTTCGACGGCTGCGAACTTCAATTTATCGTCCTTGAAGTATTTGAAGTTACCGGTTTGGTGCATCATTTTGATATCGATGTGGTTCTTAGCTGTGAGGCAGAAGCTCGCGTTCTTCGTCTCGGTGAATTCTTTTTTCCACGAGTTTTGGAAGTGTACGGCCGACGCCAAAACCAAAACTGTGTCCTTTTTAATGTCGCCTGAAGGCATATTATTATATCGTTATTATACGCCACAAGAGCATATTATTTTGTTTTGGCCGACGACTCCATCGCCGAAACAGTTGTACACGTCTATAATAGTTATTCGATTATTACCTGGTTTGAAAATTCCCGAAATTTTCCCATTCGTTTTGCTATTGACCCATTTGTTTACTTCCGACTCCCCGGACGTAGGATTACCGGAGAAGTCAACACTTCTCACTTCGGAGTTCAGGTACTTTTGAGTATTTTTCGTGTACTCTGGATTTAAACTGAATGCTTTGTCCGAGAAAATTCCATTGGCGACGGTCAAATGGCCGGGGACCTAAGAATAATTAATTCAACCATAAACTTTCCAGTCGTTATTAATAATTAGTCTGCCAAAGCAAAAATATTATGAATTAATTGTCTGAAACTATGAACGGAATAAAAAAACTGAAAAAAGAAACTGCATAAAAAAAAATCAATAACTGACGTACACTTGATTACAAAATATTAAACTGCTGTACACAGTTCAAAAAAATATAAATTTAAATAAATAAAATCGTTCATGCTTCAATGCACAATACATTTTTGCAGAGTATTGTTTAACCAACAGACATTTTTCTGAATCAATTTTTTTTTTGTTTTAAAACTATAAAACCTTTTTTTAATAATATTATGAGGATTTAAATTTTTTGTTTGAATATTGAGCATCGCGTTATTTGATTATTTCGAATTATTATCATGAAATTAATAACTTAAATAAACTATTTATAGGTACATTATCTAATATCTACTGATAAATACTAATATTCTGTATGAGACGTGCTGTTCATTAAAAACGAATGACTCATCAAATTGCTAATTACTGTTATATAATTTCTTTTAAAAATTTGTATTAATTTAATTTCTTAGAAACAAGACGTTATACGAATTACTAATTACTAAGCTAATCGACATAAGCTATTTAAAAAAACATTTTTCATATTATATTTTATATTTGACATTTAATAGAACAAAATAATTCTACCAGACTCTAATCGTTATAATATCATGTATTATTTCATTTTACGTATGGTTAATAAAATCTGCAGTTATACTATGGAATATTTAACTTTTTATTGCATTCAACTGCTTACTAATAATTACAAAAAATATATGTATTAATATTTACGATTATTTTAAGAATATAATATCGGATAATCTCTATTTCATTATTGTTTGAATCATTTATACAGTGACCGTTATCATAAAAAGTAAATATCAAACCAACGATTACAATAATTATATCTGATTTTATTTAAAGTAATGAAATTAATTATTATTGCTAATATTTATATAAAGCCATAAAATTACTGCATATTGAAAAATACTTCTAGTTCCTCTCACTTCGTAACTGTATTTAAAAGTTACAAATCGTTGATTATACATTTTTAAATAATTTCACAACTTTAAAATATTGAAAACCACTGTAACCACTTTATATATTGAGTAAATTTTTTTTACACACCTCGAGTTTTGTTATCATCGATTTGATGTTTTCGTAATTTGGCGGTTTGTCTTTGGACAGATGTAAGACCGACTTGAGTTGATCGCTGGTCTTGGACTTGGATCCAAAGGCCAGGAGCAGCAACAGAAACTGTATGCTGTACGTGGACACGAAAACGTTGCCTTCGACGGAACTGCTGAGTTCCTGGAAAAATAATATTGATAACCAGATGAGGTCAGCCACGACATGTGTCGAACAGATTTCTCAAGTCCTGTGTCGAGAACGTTTTCAAAACGTTCGCGCAGAGACCGTCGAAGATTTCATAGGTATAATAGTGCTCAAGAGTAGGCGTATAATATCATTACTTACCTTGAACAACGAGAACGAATAGTTGGACGTTAGGGCCGTGTAGTGGATGCTCGTCGCGTTCTCCATGGCGAGACGTCAGACAAACAGCTCGAACAGCTATAGGTATATATATTAAATTTTAATGATTTTAAAATTTATAAATCTATCCGGTCCGGCGTGCGAACTGCGTCTGCAGGACGGGTCGGGTACGCGAGTCGTTATTTAGATCGGTTATCGATCGCTTACGATCGCGGCCGATCTACCTCCACGACAGACACGATAAAGTCGTGGTGTTACGATGTACAATCTTCCGGCCAAAGATCGACGTGGAGGATTGAATATAAATTATAACAGCAGCAGTAGCCGGGGGCATCGATTTTGCAAACGTGAAACATAATATTAACGTGAACGGTTCTAATCACTATAGTAAAGTGTTTGTGCGATTAAAATATTATTTTTTCAATTATTGCCATAATATAACGGTTCGATGACCGGCGTGACTCGGCGAGTTCTAGGTCATGATACTCGGACACATATTAATATTATTATCATTGGAAAACGACGTTGAGTTACGTGTCGAAACGAATCAATCTCAAAATACACATTAGTACAAGCAGTGTTCGTTGTTTCACTAGAACAGCCGTTTAGTATAGTTTAACTTCGTCACGGCCGCCGTTGTAACTACCTATACTTGTTTTCTTCCTCTAGGACTGGGCTCGTTTCTGCCGATGACATTCAATATTTGAAATGAAAAATTATTATTTCTTACGGTATACATATAGTATATTATCATACATAATATATTACATGTATTTATCATTAGATTTGTAACGGCAACCTCAATGTAAACTGGTTACATTCGTTGAAACTTATATAGGTACTGGAAACTGGAGACTTTAAGCACCCTCCCCCTAAATCTAATTAAAAAACAATAAAATTGTAATATTTTTCTTGACAACTGACTTCCTAATAATAGAAGAATCATTAAAAAAAAAAGGAAAGACCACTTTATGATCACCGCAATATTATAGGATTACACAGATTTACAGATGTTAAATACACAGTATCACGTCATAGTGTCTCTGTTTTAATTCAGCTTTGTAAACATAAACACTTATTTTTGATCGTGTGCATTAAACTAGATTCAAACAAAATTTTGATATACGTTTACTTAAATATGAAACAGTTTATGGACGAAAAAGTGTATTTTATGTTGGCCTGAAATTATGTATTACTTTTAATATAAATAAAAGTAATTTTAATAATCTATTTACCTCTACGAAACATAATATTAGACTTTTAGATAAAGTTTGTGCATAAATTTAATTATTTTATAATGTCACTTATATTTCATATCATCGTAATTATTAATATTATTATTATTGTTATTTACTATATAAATCTATTAAAGTTTACATTCATTTATTCTCGTTTAAGACTTTACTTTAAAACGGAATAAATCTTACGACTATTCCTATATTTGTCTCTAAATACTATTTATATGTATTCTGTACCATATTATTCTATTATACTGTTCTCTTATTTATATTTTTAAGAATTGTTCCCGCTGGACAAGCTTTGCTTACCGGGGGTTGCTGCAGTATTGTACTCATAAAGTAAATTTTTTATTAAAAATTGTTGATGTTGCATTCAATTTATTATTATTATTAGTATAAAGATAGCTTATTAAAAAAAAAAATTCCAAAGTTGACACATTTGTAATATTGTCAGTCGTGCGTACTCGTGTGATTATAACTTTTTGAATTTGAGTGAGAAAAAAATTATTTATTGTAGGTATTTAAGAATTTCAAAATATAACAACCCGCCAAAATGATAAAATTTATATCATACTAAAACTATAATAAGTTTAATATTTGATGCTCAGATTAAAATTATAATGTTTTCATTCAATGAAGCAGCTATTCAGTGCATATTTTTAAATTATTGTTGCTTAACAACAACACATACCCTCAACGAGTTAATTGATTACTTTATTTGACCCTAACCCTGATTTACACAGTTCAATGTAAACGGTGTCTCATTCTCGATGAGAAATTATTTGTTTTCGCCGAAATTGGTATACAATTAAACATTTATATTTAGAGTTAAGTATAATATCGAGCACGATTAAATATATAGTACCTACCTTCAATCATTAATCGTATTTACGACGTGAGGTAGATATTTCGACCAGAGACTTCAGTTTGGAAGTTCGTATAATATTATTTCTTTTCTAGTTATTTCTTTGCTGAATTCTCTTTTTGTATGAATACCATAAACTATTAGATTCGATTTTTTACTGATGGATCACGTGGGTTTCATTTTATTTTGTTGTTAACGTTTCATATTCAAGCCGGCTTCATTGAATTCCAAACCCATAACATTATTCGTAATAAATTTTTACAAAGGTCACGTTACAATATTATAGTTCAAATGACGTGAACACCGTGTCGATGTTAACATATAACACCATAGCAATAACACTTAAAGGCAAATAATTATTACCACAATATACGCCATACAACATATATTATAAATTATAGTAAATATTTGTGAATTATTTTAAAGAAAAATGTTCAATGCACTTATTGTTACTATAGATGTTGGTTAGTTAACATTAATATTATTATTATTGTACAAATAACTAACTGTACCTACACAAGAGAAAGTTTCATCTTCAAACATAAAAAATAACTTTATTTGTTTTGTTGGAATAAGAGCTATTACTTTTTTTAGCCGACTAGCTAATTTTTAAAAGTAAAAATAAGCATGTATTGTTAAACAAAAATCCTGTAAAAGCAGGACGAGCAATTCAAAGATAGCCCTAGGAGGGTAATCATCTCGGTTTTATATTTTTTTTTTTTTTTTGTTTCATTTTGTTTATTCCTAAACTAAATTTGTTAATGAGTTGTCACTCCCTAAAAGTTAATCTAGAAAGGCGCCAGTATAAAAAAATAATAATAATAATAATATTTTTAAATTGTATAATATTATAATATTATCAATAAAGTAAATAATATTAAAATGCAGTGCAATCGTTATTTTATAACATAAATAGGTCTTATAGCCGAACAAAAATTAAATAAAATCATATCTAACACGATTTTCCGAAAAGCGGGACCTACGTTTTGTGAATGACGCGTTGTTTTAAATTTCAAATAAGTATTAAACGTTATAGAAAAACGGAAAAAAACATCTGAAATTAATAAATATAATATTATCTATCTAGATAAGATAAAAATATGCTGTGTATTTGTTTATTCTAGATAAGCAATTGCTAATTACAATGATATTATGGTTCCTCACAGTCGTCTGAAATACTCGGCTCTCCACGGACACCGTCGTAATATTAAGTATCATATAATACCTATACCATGGCTGATCCTGTACTGCGTTGCCAGAGACAAACTAAATAATATCGGTGGATATTTATATTACTATTGGCTGATCCCGCGCACTTCATTGCTTCTCAACTTTTTAAAAAATTTAGATTTTTCAACTCATTTTGGGTGCAGCTCGGCCTCCCGGTAGGCAATTTGTGAAAATTCGATTTGAAGCATGTGTACACCTGATCTGCTAGATTAACCGATGGTAACCGATAAAATAATAAAATATACCAATTTCCACTAATTATTTCTCCTATAACCAATAGCAACCATTTATAAAAGAAAATGTTCCCCGTAAATCTAAAAATCCCCGTTTGAGCACCTCCCCGGGTTGGACCTACCGGGTCCAATCGTGAATCTAAATCATCCCGGGAACCACTCAAACACACACAAAAAATGTCATCAAAATCGGTCCAGCCATTTAGGAATGCATAAATGACACACACACACACACCTATACATACAGACAATCATTCATTTTTATGTAATATAAAGATTGTGTGAGCCACCCTATAGCAACATTTAGGGGTTATTATAGCTATAAGCACACTCCTTCGAGTCTCAATAGGAATCTATATTGATATACATTTTATTGAAAACGGTTCAGTAGTTGTTGAGTAAATAGAGGACAAACGAACAAACAGAAACATTCTGCTGATTCAGACCGGTGAACATTCTTCTAACTGATCCTTGCACGGCATTGCCCTCGTTGTAAATATTAAATAATTCCAGAGGATTTATCCCGTATTAAACTCCGTTAAATGGTTAACTACAAACATATAGTATATTTAACACAATCATTCAGGTGGTTTTGACCAATTCTAAAAAATAGGTCTAAAATTATATGCAACAATATTATAATAACTATGTTATTTTATGCAACCAACGGTGTAGATAAAAAATACTGTAAATGTATGTTACAGATATTATTCATTTTTTGAGAGCCAAAAATTCCATGTGCAGTGAACCCGGTAGTAAAATTTAAAATTTGGCTTCGAGGTGCACCAACAGCCCTTTGCCCTTTGGGTATAACTTTTCCTATGTACCAAATTTCAGACGCTTACAAACATCACAATTATTGTATTTTATTAATAAATATTTGATGCACACGAGGCGATAGACGTCATTGGCCGCGATCAATATTTCTAAATTACCTATCGTAACTATTGAACACTCTCGATCGGGGGGTGACATTTCAGTTTTAAAACAAGTCTCCAAATTGTTTCGGTTTGTCAAACTTTTCAACCACCAGGGGCCACAAAAGTGATGGTCAAATCATTCCTATTTTGACATGGAATACAAATTTACCTGCCACAACTATAATAAGACTTATAGTCATCTTATATTTTAGTCTTTTCATTTAATAACAGTTTTCTGGACGTTACTTTTTTTAAGATTCTTTATTCTTGTATTTATATATTATAGGCAATGCCCTCGATGAAATATGGAATCTTAAAATTACATAACAATAGGTTACTCAATACTTTATGAAGTGTTAACTATTTATTGTATTATATTTTGATTTATGGATCTCTATAATTTCGGCTGGGTACTGGCGCCAACATAAAATATTAAAGCAACTAAAATTAATTTCGTCCCCAGTCGAATAAATATATTAATTTTTTAGTGGTTTTCAAACTGATTTATAATTATAATATTAAATAATTATTATTTTTTATAATACTTTAAAATTATACTCACCAAACTCTATACTATATAAATATATTATTATACTGCAATGTTTTTTTTTATTTAAATAAGTTCATTAAAGCATTGATTTTTAGACAGTTTGAGTATTAAATAAAACTATTTAAATAATATATAATAAAGCTAATGGAATAAAAAACAAATATTATTTACGAATAATAAATTAAAAGAAAAAGAAATAAAAAATAATTAGTATCGAAGACAATATTTTCACATCGTTTACGACGACATTTTATAATTTTTATTGATAATTATTTTTAAGCTGGCATTGTATCTCAAATAATTACCTAACTTTAATACGTAACTTATACAACCAAGGTTGGTATAATAAGGTTAGGTTAGGTTAGTATACTAGGTATGAAACATGTATAGGTACCTTGAGGGGTGTGACACCCCTAATGGCGCCACCGCGGACATCCGATCTATACGATCGCAGTTTACATCACATCAGGTGCGTCGAAAACTGAAAGAATACGACTTCGGAAATAAAATATATTATTGTTTAGTTTTTTTTTAATCGAGGCAATTCAGAATTCCTGTGGTCTTCGTTATTGATTTAATAAGTTGAAGATGATCCTGTGCTTGTGCTCTCTTGATGATAAACGGTTCGTTATTATTGATTAGATCGATATGGAAAAAGCTGTTCTGTTAACATTTTACTACTATTATTATTGGGTCTATAGACTGCGTTTTTGACACATATAATAACATCGATTTGAAATCGGTATTTCACGCCACGAATAGTTGATGGATAATTTCAGTGATTGACGGTTGATGGATATGTAATTTGATTCGGAGATATATATAATTTAGGATAAGGCTCCTAGACAGCAATGAACAACGATTGACCACAACATGAATGTATATATATATACATTATACATATATATACATATATATGTATATATATATATATATCATAAAATAACACAATTTAATTATGAGACTATAATATGACTCTACTTAATATATTACAATGCTATATGTATATAATAATTATGATAGGATTTTCCCCTTTAACATTATCCAATTTTGATGATGGTATACTACAATATTAATTTTCAACACATGATTTGGTTCACTATAACAGTCACTAAATAAGAACTTTGGTTCCATAAAATATTGAAACGTATAAAATAAGAACCATAAAGACAATAAATATTAATTATAAAAAATGTGTAAATTAAATAACTTCAACATATCCATAATATTTACTTTATCAAATTCTAATCATCTCTAGAAAAAAGTAGACGTTTGGCTTATAATATTTTTTGCTCATACATACTCTTAAACGAGTTTAACTCTTAAACTCTGCGAACGTTCTAAATTTACGTTATCTAAACGTAATTTAATACAACGTTATAAACTATAATTCCATTTACAATCTAAAAAGAATTTGGAACTACCTACTCGTTTTGGTTTTTAATATTGGCTAGTATGAATTTACTTGGACTAGAACAGGAAATCAATTATTTATCTATTCAACTGTAGTATTAAAATATTTATATTAATAAGTCTCAAGTTAAATGTATTTCTAGTTTTTTGTTTTAAATTATAAATACTAAATATTAAAATGGAAATATTAATATCAACAGTCGTAACTATGTAAGTACTTTTAAAAACTAACCGACGGACACAATGGGGTTATTATAAGATGTTCTCAACTTATGCTTAAAAACCTAAAACTTTAGATTGCGATATTCTACTAAAAAATATAACTCGTTTTTCCGCAGTTTAACGATTAGGTGCTAAACGAAACAAATAGGATGAATTTACTGTAGGAATTTCGATTTTCATATGCCAATCAAATAGATTACAAAGTTAAATTGAGTTTGTTTGACATATCACGCACAATAAATTCGACTTTCTACGAAAACAGATTAATTACATATCCATTTAATACTTGCAGGGTTTTATAAATACGCATTCGAAATTAATTTGAAAAATTAAACAGACGGTAGTCGACCCGATGTTAATGCGAAGTGTATTTAATCGTTTTTAAACAAATCATTAAAGTCTTCCCGGAGTCGCCACTTCTCATTTATTTTTTAAAATTTACTTTAATTTTATATTGAATAGTAACATTATTAGTTTTTGAATTAATTACTCCATTGTGCAGGCAATCCATTTCAAAACGCACATTGTACCAGTTTTATATATTACTTTTTCACATTACAGAATTTGTCAAATGTATGTTTTCTATAGCACCTATAATATGGCTTTAATATAATGACTTTGTACTTTGTAGTTTTCTGAACGATCATTAATATTATAATAGGCCATAAATAAATGTGGACCTATAATATTGTGCATTAATATGTCATTAATCGTTTGTAATATAATTAGCAAATCACCATTTGAATACAAAACATAAATATCAAATAATTTAAATTTTCTCTATGCTTAAAATTATGTAATTTTAAAAAACTTGAAATTTCTATCGTACCGATTTACCATAAACTTTTCGACGAAAAATGTAAATTACTTTTTTCGTTCAGTTTTTCTCAATGATTATGTCTTTAGCCTTTATAATGCTTAATACCATGTGATTTGTATCTTATGTTAATATTTAATTTTTTGTTTTTATTTCCAATTGCCAAAACATGAGGTATTGACTATATTAACAGTGATCACTCGTCATTAACTTTGATGTTTTCCGAAAAATGTGTATAGACATTTTAAAGTAGGTATTTTTAACATAACTATTTTAATTCTCAGAATTTTTTTTAAATGTAGCATATTATAAACTTTTTTTAAAAAAGCAATATTTAACAAAATTTTAACTAGGCATTCACCAATAAAAATATAATCACATATATTATAATTATTTTTATTTTTATCAGTTAAGAGGTTACTATGAATAAAAACGAATAAATAAATGAGAAAAAAACATTATTTGATTGCGATGATGTATCGCTTTAAAATGTACCTAGTTGATAACCCCCACGCCCTCTTTTTCACACCTGTCCGAGTGTTCTGTCCAAAACAGTGGTAGCTGAATCTCCACGGCATGTAAATGATTGATTTCCATTCACGTATTAAAATAATTTGGAAAAATGAAATAAAATTAAAACAGCACCAACATTGGCAGTGATACAATATAAAAATATATATTTAAAAAAAATTAACTAACATAATGTAGAGTAATTATAATAATAAGAGATGGCTCATCACATTAAAACCATTGTTTTAACTCTAAGACATAACAATTTATGTTATATAAATATTGTTGTTACCAGCTATACAGTATATATATGTTTATATATTATATACTAATACTATATACTTTATATTGTACTTACAAAGTTACAAACAATTTTATTGTAATAGACATTTTAATCAATCTGCGTAGTTAGATAATATAATATCTTTTAACATTTTAACAATGTTGGGTATAAATTATTTATAACCCATTACATTACTCGTTATTAAATACTTATAACTACTTGATAAAATTTCAAAATTCATTTAATCATAATAAAATAGGTATACTCGTATCGTATAAATATTCATGTGCGTATATGTATAAACTAAGCGTTCGGGTTGGACAATCTACCCATAAAAATGATGTTTGTGTTTTTTTTTATAATGAACATGAACGGATGGCACGCGTGGAACTTAACGGCTTTGACGTCACTCGGACCGTGTTCTGACTTTTTGTGTTTCGAGCTGTAGCCTATATTTGAAATGACAAAACACGTTAGTCGTTTGAGCTTAAATTTTAAAATAAACAAAAAACAACGAAAATCGAATGATATCCAATTGTTATACCATATTGTTATCGTTCTTACCAGTGACGCCTGTGGCTTCGGTGCCGTTTTCGTCGACGTTCACGAAGGCCTTATGTTTGATGTCACTAACTTTCAGCTTGCCCGCTCCAGACGTACTGATATAAGAGAAATCGGCACTCGACGTGAACATCTCGGTACAACCCAACTGTCAAAAACAATATTGATGAGCCTAGCAGAAGTAAAATATACAGACGTAAAGTTTTCTAAACTAATTTACACTCTGAACGTATTGTAGAGACATACGAGCGCAGAGTTGTAAGTTGTTCAAAAGTATATAGTCTGCATACGTTTCAAATAAATTACTTTTTGGACAAACTTCCCAAGTATAAATTCACGCGAATTACATTATACATTATGTTGTCTAGGTCAAGACCACTGCTGCAGTCCTGTTAAAAATCTCCCCGAGCATTATAATACTATGTGGTCTACGCGCGGTTACGACATTGAGGTATAGTAATATTGTGTCATGATTTGTGGTTACACAACAAGTGTCCAAAGTTTAAAGTAGTGACATTTTCATGGCGGCAAGTAATATGGTTAAAACGTCGATTTCACATTGTGGTGATATCGATAAGTCCAAATCGTGTTTAGATATTATGAGCTTAACAGTTCAAAATGTATAATTTAAAATGTTATTTTTACAATCATTATATATCTGAGGCAGCTGGACACAGGTGTCCGCTGATGTTTACGAATTTGGTGATTTGCATGATGATCCAACCCCCTAGGTCTACCGAATATTCAGAACGTTTGCGCATGTGAGTTTGCATTTACTTTAAAGTATTCAAATTTAAATTAAATTTATTCTATTTTAATCTGACCGTCGACCATCAAAGCACTTTTTATTTCCTAAAAGTTAATTACAGCACAAATAAATTCCTGACCTTTTATTCTATAAAGTGTTACACTAGGTAGTAGGTACTAGATAAGAAATATTATTAGATGATCCATAAAACGTAAGATAGTCATTATTTTAGGAAATATTTCATCTATACTATAAAAGAAAGTCCAGATTTTGTGTCACGGGTTGGATCCGAAATGGCTTGACCGATTTCACTGATTCTTTTTTTTTTATGTTCGTAATTGTCAGGTTGTTATGAAAGAAAATTTTAGGAAAATCTACCAGAAAAGTAGGAGATCTAGTTGTCAAAAATACAACAGTGGCGCCACCTGTACAGGAAAAAAATAAACTAAATATACTGCTCCGAATCTCACGGGATATTTCCGATCGAAATGGCTATACATTAACATAAAACATAATTTACCCTTACAAAGATATTGCTTCAACATCATATTAGACCCAAAAGGAGTTGAACAATTAGAATTTTTTTTCCGGGTAAAGGAAAAGTTAAGATAAGTTTTTAACAGCTTTACACTACTCTGCATACAGTTCAATTACTCTTCATATAAAAAAAAATGTTGAAAGATAGATAGAAAGGATTTATGGAGCCACGAAACAATTTGCAAACATCTATCCACGGGAGTGGAGCACGCGGGTGACAGCTAGTTTAATATAATTTGAATTCGTTACAAAACCAAGACTACTTTACCATAAGCATACACTTTGAAATATGTGACTAAATATAGCTAAATATATATTATATTGTCTAAAACAAAACAAACTAATAACGTTTTAAGCGTTCTACAAAATTAATTAAATAGTGATTTCAAGTAGATTTGACTTTTTTTTCATGAAAATGAAAAAATACCAAAACTCACGAAAATAGACGAGTCCAGAATGTTATGAACAGAATTTAAATTAAAAGTGACGCGTGTTGTATCAGATTAGGTAAACAATCCCGAATAAACTTAAAATTGGTGACTATACAGTATATTTATAATATTATATACTCTGTAGAATAAAGAAACTGAAATTTTTTACTATAACCTATATATAGAGTTGGTATCTACCTCTTAATACGCGGCATTCCGAGAGAGAATAATAAAATATTATTTTTTTTTCCCCTAATAAGATTTGTCGAAACATTTTTTACGATTATTTACATATTAAATCGTTTAAGCTTTCCACTCGGTGACTGGACTGAAAAAAAAATACAAAATTGGTTTTGACGGGCGCGATGGATAAAAACAGGTCGTATAAATTATAGTCAACTGTCGACCAGCGAGATAATTTTTCGCTCGTGTCGGAAACTTTTACAAGTCCTAATCGAATAACACTGCACAGTAACTACCTACACACACACACGACACGGACATTGACGTATTGTTTTGTTTGTTTTGTGCACACTCACCGCACCGTGAGTACCTATACTTACTTTTTCCATTGTTTTTATGAGACTGACGTCGGATTCGAACTTAAACTTCGGCACGTCCACCGTGACATCGTGGACGGTCAGGTTGCCCTGCAAGTACGCGAAGTTTTTCGAGTCCTTCAGAAACGCGTTCTCCAAATCGTGCAACCCGTCAGCTCTGTCCGGCAGTATGACCAGCATATCGAAACCACCTGCCTAGTAATTCACAACAATGACAATCTGTCACAGCGATACGTCTGACGAAACGAGGTACGTCGTGTTAATAACGCTGTCCCCTCTTTTATAATATATAAAAGAAAAACCAAAAATGATGATATACTTTATAAGGCAGTTCGACGGTGGAAAACTTGTAACGGTCGTCGTGGTGGTATCGAAAAAGGCCCCTTTGGTGCATCATTTCGACGTCGATGTGCTTCGAAGGCGTAAGGCAGAAACTCGCGTTCTTCGTATCCGCGAATTGGTTTTTCCAAGCATTTCGGAAGTATGCGACCGAAGCCAAAACCAACACCGTGTCCCTGTCAATGGTACCTACACAAAGGGGCACGACAAATGATGAAATGAGTACTCGTTATCATGTTTACGTACCAATTTATTGTTCAAATATTTTATTATTAGCGACATGTCGTCGGCAGTATAATGATTTTATATAGACGACGTCAGACACGCTGTTGATGTTATTATTATTATTATTATTATCGTCGTTTGATTACCTGGTTCGAAAATGTTGGAAATTTTTCCGTCGGTCTCGTGTTCGGCCCACTTGTTGATTTCCGATACTTCTTTTTCAGGATTGCCGGCGAAATCGAGACTCTTCACTTCAGCATTCAAGTAGACACGAACCTTATCCACGTAATCGTTTCTCAAAACGAACGCCATATCCGTAAATACTGCATTGGCAATGGTCAAATAGTCAGGATCCTGAAAATAATTAAGTCAACTTCAAACTTACTAAACGTAATTTAATGTATCCAAATAAACACGACTTGGCGTTCTCTCAGACATGGCAAACAAATAGCGAAAAGAGAAATCTCACAAAAATATTATGATCGGTTTATATTATTTGGTAATAAAATGACAAATATATTTGGAATTCTTATAAACCGTGTACATGTTTCAAATAAAATGTGGTCGTTCGGTATACAATTCAAACTCACGATATTTACTCACTTGAATTAAAATTAAAATAATTTAAAAAAAAAAACCAAATAATAAATAAAATTTCATAAACTGTACAAACATAATATGTTTACATAATACTCAATTTTACACTAAAACCCAATTATTTTAGTTCCGGTATTAACCGGGTGTTGACCAGTTGCCCCCAACGGCTGTTATCGGGATTTTTAAAATATACCCGTTGCCCTCAACAAAATGTACCAGTTGCCCTCAACAAAATGTACCAGTTGCCCCCAACTGAATGTACCAGTTGCCCTTACATGTTAATATATACACGATTACAATATATAGCCTGTAAAATAGGGGAGGTAAATATACAATTAATAATAATTAAAATTATTTATAAAAATAATGTAAAATAGTATAAAATGATAGAATCAAATTTTGATATTTGCAATTATATATACCTACTTAATAGTAATAATATAATAAAAAATTCAATGAATTAATAAATATTATGATTTGACAACAAAAAAAAATTTATAAAATGACAGAAAAAATATTCATAGTAAATAATATAGTTATAATGATAATAGTGGCATATTCAATGTGATAATTTGTATAAAATGATAGAAAAAATTCATGTTTATAATAATTAAATTACTAGGTAACGAAATAGTATAAAAAAGTCAATAAAATAATAAACATGACAGAAAAGTCATCCACAGCTTTCCGTTTTAAATTATTAGAAATGGTTACTTTTGTTAAATTTTGGCGAATGTTTGTGTTCGATAACCGATTTTAAAAGCACCTTTTCATCTTCACTCACAAACAGCTTTGACGTACACGACTTTAATGTACATCTGGCATTTCACACCCGCTTGTGTAATGTGATCTTTATAAAAAGTATAATTTTTTAAAAGTAACAAAACATTGCCCTTTTCACTATACACTCGCGTAATATTTTCCGTCATGTTAACAACGTCAGTGCTTTTCGTCTACTAAAATGTATCTATCAAAGACGTAGGTATACATCGTATCATATAATAATTTCTACAGCAATAAAACTACTTATAAAGATAGGTTTAATAAATGATAATAACTAGCGTATTCCGATAAAGCGTAATATAATTTGCCACGCGATAAATCGGTTATCCAGTCTTAGTCTTATACGCGTCTAAATTTACGCGTTTTTGTAAAATCCTCGCTTTGCACCAAGTAGTAGGCTATTATTATTAACACAATTTTCATTTTATCATACTATTTGTATAATATATTATATTTATTATTTATTACAAAATACAATATCATATATAATTGCAAATATCAAAATTAGATTCCATCATTTTATACTATTTTATACTATTTTACATTATTTTTATAAATAATTTTATTTATTATTTGTATATTTACCTCCCCTATTTTACAAGATATATATTGTAATCGTGTATATATTAACATATGAGGGCAACTGGTATATTCGGTTGGGGGCAACTGGTACATTTAATTGAGGGCAACTGGTACATTTTGCTCTAGGTAGTTTAGGGGGAATTGGTATAAAAAAAGGTACTTTTGGGGGCAACTGGTACATGCCCTATTAACCATGTCGTTTCTATTATAATATATAGATATATTGTTACGGGTAACGCTATACAAAGTAAAAATAAATATTTCAGGATATAAGAAGGACTATTGAAATCCGCGCTTTGAATAATTTCAAATTTCAGATTTCAACTTACATCAACGTTGTTAATTTTTTTTTATTATAAAAATTTTTTCAAACAAAAATTGTTTAAAAATAAAATAGTCTTGTCGAATCAATTTCTATTTAATTAAAGTTAGTTGTATTGCGCATGTGCGTACCAAGAGAGTTAAACATTTCAAATTGTATCAAAATGTGTATTCCCTTTGTGAAAACCACCAATTTCAATCCAATGCCTCATCCATTTAAAATATTTAGTGGTACCTATAGGCTATAGGTACTTCTTAGCGTCAACACAGTCTAATGTGTTATGTATTATATAACATACAAACAATTTACTAATCGTAATCTAAATCAGACCTTACTATATAATTTAATATATTTAATTATGTACATAGGTAGTCATATTATTACCAAATTCGAATTAAGGTTAATTTATGGTTATATTGTTAATTACTATATAATTTGTTTTTGATGCATATTTATTATAATTTTTAGTTTTACGAAAAACAAGCTGTTGACCAATTAAGTCAAATAATTGAAATAGGCATTATTTATTTTAAAGGAAATATTTATATTATTAAATATAGTAATTATAAACAAATGAATTATTTTATACGCTCCGCATTAGTATTCATTACACATTTTTCACTTGTCTCTTGGATTTAATTAAATAAAAACAAAAGACCGGACATGTTTTGTTCATATTATTTGTATCTTTTGTGCGTGAATTAGACAACTCTTTATGTCAAAACACTTGAGTGAATTTTTAAAAGTTTAATAATTTTCAATTCAATTTTGAAAACATAAAAACTTAAGCATTTTAAAAAAGGAGCTGAGTCGAGCACGAAAATAGATTAATTTTAGTTTTAATACTTTAACATTATTATGGCCTATAAAAAAATAAGAGACACAAACACAAATTATCTGTTATTATTACTGTAATTTTTTTTTTTGTACTTAAACACAAGTTTAATAATTCTTAACTATAAAGCCAGTATATATGGTAGACATTTTCTAGAAGCTTTATAAAACTTGTTATTGATTAGAATTATTAATATATCTAGGTAATTAATATTCGTTTTCAATTATAAGTTTGTATAATAATATTTAGTCTCAACTATGATAACATATTATTATAAAGTGACAAGAAGATCAGTGTTTTTAAAATGTACTAAAAAAAAAAAAATTGTGACCGAATTAACAAACCGAAATATAAATTTTATAAAATAAGTGCTGTATGTAATAATATACGTTTATTCGCACTACTGAAAATTTAAATTTAAATTGTAATATTTATTGTTTCTTAAAAAATTTAAAATTTTTACTTAAAATAATCGAAGGCACTTAAATTTTGACACTATAAAAACACGTACACAACAAGAAGCCTAAGACGTAGATAACAGTTTTAGCTGAGTTACTGTAACTATATTGTCCTCAACCATGTATTTATGTATAATAGTTTTAACATTTTCAAATGTCAATCACTCGATCACTTAAATCCATTCTATAAATAATATCGTTTTGAATTTCACATAAAACATTGTTTGATTGAAAATAATAATTGAATCCAAAAGAGATAATAATAGTTCTAAGTACTTATATTTGTTTTTGCATTATTATCATACAAAATATAATATGATGCTGTCGTTATGACATTTTTGGAAATTAAAACTTGACTTCAACAATCGTTCAGTACTTTAGTGTACATAATATAATTATTATCAATACAATCTAATATTCTAATTGAATCTTACCGACTGCTCGAAATCTATAATACAGATCATGTTGGACAATGTAATTTTTGTATTACTGTAAACTATATATTTATAACACAAAAAATATCATGTCATCTATACTATAGATTCTATAGGACACTATATACTCTGCACTCTGTATATAATATTTGTAAATTAAAAAAATATTGACTTTTCTCCGAATTCTGTATCACAATATTTCAGTATACAATGCAATATTTTTTAAAATGAACGCTTTAATGAACAGTTCTTCGCGTTTAATTTCCGATCGCTGATGAAGGTGTTTTTTGAGCTTTTATACGTTAGGTGACCGAAAAAATATTTACCGACAATAGAACTCACCGTTGGATAAAAAAAAAAAAAATTCCCACACTTTTCTAATAATATTTTAAACTCGAAATTGTCGTCTTTCTAACAAATAGAACAGAATTGTCTTGTTATTAATTTACAATATTATGTTGCAACTGAGCCTGAGCGATTTCGTATAACTTTTATCCGCCGGGAATCTCTATTACAAATAGAGTTAGTACAGACCGTTAGTGCACTTAGTGGAGAAAAGAGAGACAGACGGTACCGTTCAATACTTATAAAAACTTGGCTTACTTCGATGTTTGTCATGACCGACTTGATGTTGTCGTAATTCGGCTCTGCATTCTTTTGCGGCAAGCGTAGCAGTGTCTTGAGTTGATCGCCTGTCTTGGACTTGGACCCTAAAGCTAGAAGCACCAACAGAAATTGAACGCTGTACGTGGAGACGAATACGTTGCCCTCGACGGAATCGCTCAATTCCTGAGGAAAAACAACCCCTCATGTATTAATAAGTATTTCGTGGCGACGGTGGAATTTTCATAGGGACAACAGGTAGCAGAAATGGATCATGACCGGTTTTCCACGGCGGACGACCTGACACCAAGCAGGTCCATCAGCCTGGGACAAATTTTACGAATATTACGTGTTACGTACGAATTGCTTACAAATTTTCTAGTTTGGTTTGAAGTCGAAATTTTGAATTCAGGGTGCCAGCCGAGCACCCCTTATATAGAAAACATTAATTTGGGGGGGGGGAGGAGCTGAGAATTTTCATGTTAATTATTCTGATTTTGGGGCTACAAAATATTACCAACTGCTTACTATTTTTTTCTCTTATGTTTTGATTTCGAAATTTTGTTTTAGGGGACCTACTTTGAACTTCAATTACAACACCTACCTTGAACAGCGTGAACGAATAGTTTGACGTGAGGGAGGTGTAACGGAAATTCGTGGACGGCAAGTCCTGCATGGTGGCGTTTCCGGAGGACGGTGATCGATCGATCGGCTAAACTCTGTACAGTTGTCGGTCCAGCAAACGAACTGCCGCGCAATAGGCTCGCGTCGTATATGATATTATTTCGGCGTGCCTACCTAAATGTGTAATTTCACGGATAAAAATTGCGTCATGCCTGAGAATTTAACACAATTTTTCAATAATAATATTATCACCCGCTTCCGGCGGTGGCCGCGCGGTGCTGATAACGAACGCGCACGCACGAGCGTTCAAACCTAATTATTATTATAATTCATCACAGTATATCCCAGATTAAATAACAATTTTAAAGTTTCATTTAATCTTTTTGATGGTTTTGTATATTATTCGATCGCAATCGCGAGTGTTGTAATCATCGATCTCTGGGTCACGTGTACTCGTTGTCTAAAAACGTTTGTTTTCGAACTATGAACAATCTCATTATAATACATTTATTGTGCTTATCGGTGAGCGTATCGGACGATAGATTCAAGTCATGTTTTTCTTTAATAATCAAATTGATATTAGAACCTATATTATTACCTATAATTATTTCAGAGTTTGACGACCGCTCGGCGACCCCATATAGATGTTATAAAACGAGAGGTCATCGCAATAACATAAAATAATAATATTATATTATATTATCTGTCGGTCGTTAGTTTAACAGAAGCGTAAAACACAAAAACCATCACTTTGGCACGTAGCACCCGAAAAAAAATACATAAACCTAACCTCTGAAGCTTTCACTGCACATAACACACAATATTTCGGCGACTTTCGGTCCACAGACTTCACTCTAAGCCGTACACATTATACAGAGTGTATAACAATATCGGGTCTTATAATATTATGTCCCAGGGCTTGACGTTCAAATGAAATTTTGCGATTTCAATTTCATTTTCGCTCATCGATATTGGTATTTTCAGATTTTAATTCAAAACAATATAATATTGATTTTATAATTTTTATATAAGTAGTTGAACACTATTTTTTTAAAACTTATTCTGATCTGTAATTAGATTTTCAACACTATTTTTATTTTTTTTTCCGATTTGAAATACCGAATTTTATAAATTTATTTTACATTTTTACGATTTTAGTTTTGGTATCTGTCTATACGAGTCACTCGCTCAGAATCGTTTATTGCAGGTTTTATTTAAATGTCAAAAAACCGAATTTCCTACTGATGTACAATATTATTGACCTGTTGATTGTTGTTGAGTCTTAAATTTGAATTCAATTTTTTAAATATCTTATCGACTTGTATTATATAAACATTTTAAAACTATTAATATTTTGATATACACCATTAGTTTTCATTTTTGTTTTCATTTTTAATAAAACGTTGAATATCGTTATGAAAAAAATCCATTTTGATATTATACTTTTGATTTCATAGAGGATTTTTAACGATTTTCGTCGATATTAATTGAACTTGATTTTTAAATCGATCTCATGCCCTGGAAGTATAATCTCATAATGCGCGTTTTGTCTATATCGAAAACCGATCGGACCCTGAACCGAAATTTCCCATGTGATAAATCGTATTGGATTCCGAGCACAAATAAAACGCCGATATCCGTATAAATTCAGTGGCGTATACAAGGGGGAGGATTTGGGGGTCAGATCTCCCACTCATTGGCTTTGGAGCACATAATTTTCCATATTGTGTTTGATGTGAATTTCGAATCAATTCAAATTATATTCATTGCTCATTATCGTTAAATATTTTACTACCTACCTAAGTAAAAAGATTTGAGAGAGTGGGAGGTTTTCCAATTTCCCCCTTCCATTTAGCTATTTCGTTTTCTCTTTTTGATCCCACCCACCTTTCAGAAATCATGTCTACGCCACTGTATTTCATTTGTATTCTAATAATCGTATTGTTTTATTACATAGTTTTTACTTTTATCGCAGTGCATCTATATTTATCACTGTCTTGTGCGGTTTGCTCTCTGTTTATATCTATTAATCCGTAGTTATCGCACACTGCCCTAGTGAACAATATAATAATTCTGGAAAACTTTCACTCGAGAGCCACGGAAATAGGTGTAATAATAATGGATAATCGTACGACAGCAATTAATATTTACATTTCAACACGCTGCTTCGGCAGTAGCAATATTGTAGAGAATTTTTTTCCCCTCGACGTCCGTCTCGTACACACATCCGAATAAGTGTATACAATTTTACTTAAGCTGCTGTATTATGATATTATTATAATGCTTATTCCGAACACATGACTCGACCTATAGGTTGTACAGAGGTCATAAAACAACAAGGAAATAAACTAACGAATAAAGTTACGCTTTTTAATTGCTCGTACGACTGCAGATACAAAAGGGAGCATTCAAATCGTACGATTTATATTATATAGAGTGTTTTGTGCATCGGATATTATATTATATTGTGTAATTGTACATTTTTACTTGGAACATAAGTAATGCTTTGTATGAGCCACATCGCTTTTAATTGGACCAAAATACGAATGTATATTCGACTACTTGAGCACGAACTATACAAATATGAAATTAATGTAATAAAAAAAAAAATATTAAAACCTCTTATCTATATGCGCTATTCGCTAATAGTTTTCAGTTTGATAACTGAACTATAAACTATATTAATATATACCTATGCTATAATCAATATTAATTCTCGTATTTCGTTGTCAGTGACGTACTTTCAATAGCTAATTTATAAAAATAAACTATTATTATTTTATACCCAACAACGCATAGGTACTTTCCTCCGTCATTTTATACAAACATTTTTTTTTTTTTTAAATAAATAATTGTGATACATAAACTATTCGAATGATTTGTACAAAATATCACGTTTGTAAAATATTATTATGCTCTGGCTATACCCGAATACAATGCACGATGTAGTGTGAAGTACAATTATACGTATTTTAAATAGTTTTACACAAAGACATTTTTAATTAATAAAACAAAAAAAAATTACAACTAATAAAATATTATCAATAACGTATGGCACGGATTAGATCGGATTTACAAAATATTTTTTCGACCCTAAAACGTTTATTATTTGACATTATTATTATATTTTATTACATTATATAATATTATTACAGAAGTTAACATAAATCGTTGGAGACTCAACATATCTATTGTTACAGCAAACGGAAAATAAAATATTGACTTTCGGATTTTAATATTTTATTGTATTAAATTTTTTTTTTTTAAAAAAGCCGGTATAGATGCCCTATATACTATGTACTTCAGAAAGTATTTCAAGAGTTTACTCGTGTTTTAGATACAGCCCTGTAAAAGGCATTTTAATAGTATGTAGAGCCATAAATCTTATGATTTTTGAAAAATTGCCAAAAAAGAAAGGTACGAAATTCGTTGTATAGATACAACGTTAATATATTATAGTATGGATACACTGATACAAGTTTCAATATAATAAATTCCATTATTTGAAAATTAAAATGTAAAATATAATAGTCGACTGCAAAAAAAAATGACATAGTTGTATGCCAAATATTATCTAGGTAGATATTTTTATTATATTATTTTATTTTACGATACAAAGAGAATAAAATATAACAATAATATCATAGTAGATAATATTTAGCGTTCATTGATACGTTAACCGGAATCATTATACTGATATTGTGTGTTTAATATTATTTGCTTATAATAAACAAAATAATATCATCATCATCATGATAATAATTATTATTTTTGTGGAAATAAAACGGATAAGTTATTTCTATAATTATATAGTACTTTCCGAACATTATGGTAATTTTCGGAGCAATTTTTTTCAAAATGTGATGGACGTTGAAACATCACTTTGTTGAACAAAGTTTAGTATTTTCCCACACTAACCGAAAACCTGGAGTCCTTAAATTCTCCGACCACGATTCCTTTGGGTGTTATAGTTGCGCAATTTTGTTTATTCAAATCAGACCTTTCAGAATCAAACAATTCCTGCACACGACAGTTATCCAACAAAACGTATACATCGTGCCACTCAACTTTATACACAACATTCTAGGGTAAGTATAACAAGTCACACAATAAACTTCAAAATCACTGTGCTTTACTTTAATGTACACTGGAATTTTCGTACAGCCATTTTATATTTATGTATACAACACCGGCGTAGGTATATAATATTTGCATATTGCAGTGAAAATAATTTTAAAGCTGTTGCAGAGAGTTTTATTTTTACACTTTTGATTCGATTTAATATAATATTATTATTTACATATAAATTACTAAAATATTAACGGCAAAGTTGCTATGATAATATTATGTTGTCCACGAATTCTGTCCTTAACATATTATTACTATCATCCCGTCACTTTGTATTTATTCAAAGTATTTCGAATATGGTTTCAAAAAATATATAGAAAAAAAGTGTATTTATGAACACAAAAATCGTAACTCGATTATTCATATAATATTATGTTATAATTTCAGTGGTGTGTATGGCCAAAACTAGACACGGTGTATACAGCTGATACTCTCTAAAATTTAAATATGAAGGTATGACCTGTTTAAAATCTTATATAGGTTAAGGTATTATAGTTTTTTGAAGGGCATAAATCCAATATTTTAAAAAATTATTATGTCGTTCGTAATTAATTTTAAATCGTATTGTTTTGTAACGAGAATCATCAATATTGTTTTTTTTTTATATTTTACTATTACAATTATTGTTATATTGCAGGTACATGTGTGAAAATGTGTAGAAAAATATACATATTATTATGTTTACGAAAAAATATAATTTGTCTTATTCTCGACGACATCGCATAAAGCTTTTAAAAGTATCAAAACGTAGTTTATTCTACGCTCTGGTATAATGTTTGTGGTCTTACTTTTCACTAGGTAGTGCTTTCGTCGATTAAATATATTGACGACTTGACGAGAGTTAACAGCTTAATGGATGTCGACAACAAACGTGACAAACTCGGTTGATGACATATGACTGATCATTTGTTTCATCTCCAAATT